GTCACCTGCAGGCTTGCATCCCCTATGGCCGCCGCCTTTTCGCTGCTGCTACCTCTGAAGATGAAATCCTGCACGAGTTCCAAAACTCAGAATAATAAACAAACGGTTCCAGTGCTGAACCGGTCTCCCGCTTTACCACTATTTGCTACCTTACGTAAAAAAATCTCCCAATCCTACTGCACATTCGACTACTCTATTGCCTGTATTTTACCACTTAACTCGGTGTTGACTTAGTTTTAATAGTGCCCTGTTTTGACACCTTACGTGCGAAGCCTATCCGACCTTTTTCACACATCAATCGATGAATGCGTCAAAGCCTGGATTTTATAAATCAATAAAGTCGACCGTACTCAGCTACAGCAGAAGGAAATCCATTAGTCCAAATACTCGAAGTATTTATGAACGCATTTTTCTGTTTCTCAGAAAACTACGCATCTTCGTCCCAAAACCAAGATCGCGGAATGCTTAAGACAGGATCAGAAAAGTCTTTACTTGACCTGGCGTAAAACTACAATAGTCGTGGGACACTGGGGCTTTATGCGCAATCTCTAATCAATTCACCCCCGCAGAGTCCGTACCTAGAAGGTGCTTTTACATCTGACGGCAGACCGGAGCAGAGGAGCAGTAGAATAAACGTTGCAGCGAAGAGTTTATGAGATGTGTCCGTAGTGTGGATGCACTGTAATGGAGAGGACCCGAAGAGAAAGCCAACTATTTCATAAAAATGTTTTGCAAAAAATATTTACACGCACAATAGCAGATTAAGTTATCAAGAGGAAGAAACTATTGAATCTCTGGAGTTATCCAGCCTTCGTAATTCAATTAGCGGATGCAGACGCAGCAGCAGCGGCGGCCTTCTTCTTTCCTTTTCGCTTATTCTGCCGGGCTGCCTTCCTACCTGCAAATGAGTCGTAGTCATTGTCCTCGAAGTCATTGTCAACAGCCTTCTTGCTTTCTTGGGTACTGCTCGGTGGGGTTGCAGAGGAGCTGTCAACTGGAGCGGATGCCGACTGCTGTGCTACTTCATCAGACTGCTGCTCCGTGACGTCGGGCAGCGTTCGAGGACTGACAGATTCAGGTACTGACTCGGGAATCGACTCATGGGTCTTTTTGAGTTGTTTGGACCTGGCTGCTGCAGCCTGTCGCCCACGGGTGGTATCTCCTGGCCAGGCCGGGCCGATAATCTCAATGCAAAAGCGGTTTTTGGCCTGCTCTTCTAACATATTCAGCAGAGCGTGGTAATTATCCGGTTCAATTATGGCGGCCTAGGCGGCAAAAAAAATAACAGTGATAACTATGAATTTGAGTTTTCTGACAAGAGTTAGGAACGAATTGATAGATAAGACTGAGAGTTGGTAGGTCAAGTATGCTCATACGTACACACAAACAGAGAAGAAACTTGGGTTCCAAGTTAGTACAACGGAGTTGTGTGCTTTTATGTGCAATTGGCTGTGGACTTGCTAAAATTTGGTTCCGCTGAAAGGAGCAAGAGATAATGTGTTAAAAGTGTCCACCGATCGGGTTAAGAGACACGTTCATTCCATTGTGCTTTAGACTTCGATCTAGAAGCCCTGCAGGCAGCCGCACAGTGATTAGTAGTAGATGCAGAAGGGGAGTACTGACAAAGATAAGACTTGGATGGTCGTTCTTAGCCGCTGTCGCCAGCCTTGCCCGAGTCCCAGTTTTCAGTACAGGAGCCTTCATTCTACGTCCTTTGGTCATCGAGCGCTATTAGATCCAACGCCCCATTAACTGAGCAACCGGACCATTGTCTTGTTGCTTGCAACAAGACAGGTAGTTGGGCAGATACGGTTCCCTCGCTGTGTCTTATTGCAGTCATAAGGTTATCCGCACAACTAGGCATCAAAAGCATAGTCAGACTCTATTCTCGGCACAAATTAAATCCACGAATCCTAGATGGTGCCGCCCCGTTTTTCCCGAAAATGTCAGCTGTCAGCTTGGCCATAGAACCTAGTGGCACAGCTCTGCATTTTGTAACGTGAGACAGTGATCACGAGGAATATGCTTACATTTAATGAAGAAATCAGAACTTGGCACAAGACGGCCTTTTATTTCTCAAGTCCATTGTCTATCCTGCAAGCCGATAGCAAGCGGAAGCATTCTTAGATCACACGAACACCGTTATTTGAATCTGTGGTATTTTACAGTACGATCTGTTTGCGAGACCTCAACTCCCTGTACCGTGGTAATTGTCGCTGTCATTTGGTGATGCAAGTCTGCACGGTTCACAAGTAATCTTTGTTACAAACTGACTTCTTATCGGTAAACGACAAGCAGGACTACGTCCGCCAGCAAGTGTCTTCAGTCAGCTAATAAAAGATGTTTCTGTTATTGAACACATAAAATTTCTGAAGAGGAGGGACATGGGAAATAGATAGACTTAACGACATAAGAATTAATAACTCACCAACTCGAAAATCCCTTCCGGGTTGCGCTCTTGACGAATAATTTGATGGACCAATTTGAGGATATTGGGCGATAAGGCATCTACTAGCTTCGGGTCCAGGGATATTAATATTTCCATCATAGCTGGTGCTATTTTAAATCCTTCCACGGCCCTCAGCTGTTTGATAACTTCTAAAGCCTATCAACTGTGAGAAAAAGGTGGCGATTTACCTGCTGTTTGGCGCTCTTCTTTGGTTGCAAATTTATATGACAGTCCTTCATCATTTTTTCAATCATAGTAACGGTAAAGGCTCTGTTAGTTTCCAAATTTATACACTTCTCGGAAACCATTTTTGCAACATCTCTATACATGTTTTGGTTTTCCATTTTTCTTTCCTTTCCTGTGTACTGAATGTCGCCGTCGTTTAAAATCTAGGGAAAAAAATTACGGATGGTAATTCAACAAACCTGGAGAAGAACTGTGTTAACATCGTCGGTATCAAAATCTCTAAGGATATCTGACTTGGTGGCGAGCTGACCCTTTGACACGTTGGAAAAAATTTCCTGAGTCTGAAGAACTTCGTCTATGTTTTTTTCTCTGTTTTGAGGATTAAAAAAATCAAAATAACTTACAGATTTTCCCGCCAGGCATGAACTTTGTTTGGATAGCAGGCTATTTCGTATCTGTTTCCATTCTTCTTTAACCGCACAACGGAGACGTTGGTAAGACGTTTTTGGTTGATTGGTGTGAAGATGGACATGGATGTGAATAGAGTTTACTTTTGAAAAGACTTCAGTGTCGCAGCGAAAAAAGGTCCAGAGCACAACTAAAAACGCGATTTTATACGGTTAGGGTATATGAAGGGGCAATAACACTATAAGATTCAGTGACCCTTGTGTTACTCAGAAACAAATGAGCCTATTGACGAAGCAAGACAACTAAACCACGACCCTAAGTAAGTAACCTCGTTCAGAGCGTAAATAAAAGGTGTGCGAAATTTGTAAAAAAAAAAAAACGGCTCTTTTGGCTAAACGGTTAACAGCAGCTGATGACGGCATAGCTAGAATTGGTCACCATTCGACGAATTTTAGCATACGTAACCCAAAGACATTTCTCTAAAGCTATTCTGTCCCAATATAGTCGGCTTTCATCGTGGTGCTGCGTACGCACGCGCCTGCCGCTTCAAATAGCAATAACGAATGGCATACCCTATCCATTGCTGACGTTATAAAGAGTGTTGGTGACGCTTTCCATTGGATTAGAGGCCCGGCTTACGAATGTTATCTGTGGGGGTTCATTGCCCAAAGAAGACTGCCAGCAACCAGTGCGAGAGGCATTGGCTAAACAACCTGATCACCTTATACAGGGTGTCCACGAAGTCTGGGTACATAGGGGATAG